TGACGGCGCCGCACACGCAGCAGTGCAGTAGGAGGCCACCGAGCAGCAGGAAGCCGCCGCGCCAGCCGAAGTGCTCCAGCAGCATCTGGCCCAGCGGCGACAGTGCGGACAGGAACACCGGGCTGCCCGCCGCCGCCAGCCCGTTGGCCAGAGGCCGCCTCCGCTCGAAGTACAAGCCCAGCATGATGAGCGATGGCTGGAAGTTGAGGGCCAGGCCTAGGCCTGCGGGCGGGCGAGGCGGCTCTGGGCCTGGCTCTCGCGGGCACCTTCCCTAACCCCCACCAGGGGGCAGAACCCAGGGACACTGAACCCAGAATTTGAAGGGCCGCCCCTCGGGGTGGTGGAAAACTGAGGGCAGGCCAGTCTCCCCGTCAGGAGGACTCCCTCCTCCTCCCCATAGCCACCCCGCATCGCAGAGTGGTGGGCGCCCTCACCTGTGAGCACCCCAGCCGTCAAGTACAGCTCCAGGAGGCGCGTGGCAAAGGAGGCCAGGATCATGCCTGCCGAGGCCAACAGCCCACCCGCCAGCATCACCGGACGACAGCCAAAGCGGGTCACGAGGATGCTGGACACGGGGCCTGCGGGTGGGGCAGGGTCATGAGCGAGCCTGGAACAGTATTTTCTCCGCCAGGCACCGCGCTGCACACTTTGCACCTCCCAGCCAGGGAAGGCGGCCTCGAACGATTAAGGTCCCCCTGGTTCAGGGAGCTAAGGAGGGCAGTGTCTGGCCAAGTCACACAGCCGGGCTGGGACAGACCAAGGAGAGAGACCCCCCTCACGGAGCCAGGGGAAGGACACGCCCCCATGCCACACCTCCTGAGAACCTAGAGTCCTGGGGAAGGAGTGGAGCCCACCCCCTCTGTATTTCTCTTTACAGACTCCAGTCCCCGCCTGGTACAGCCTGGAGTCCCCACTGGGCTGCCTTCCCAGGCCTTTTTTTTTTTTTTTTTCCCCCCCCAGGGCTGGCTCAGCGGCTGGGGGCTGGCAGGATGAGAACTCTGGGTTGCAATGGCCACAGAATGAAGCCTGCCTTTGATCTGTTCGCATCTGTGAAATGGGCGAGCAGGAACGGAGGGGCACTGCCGATTGGCCAAGCTTGGCCGCTGGTCCCTCCTCCCTCCCGGGGAAAAGTTTCCCGGGGTTTGCGCCCCCTCTGGGCGCGCTCAGGGGGCTGATGTCCCCGGGCGCCTGATCCTGAGCCCTCACGCCTGGGCCGCGGGACGGGGCCAGAGGGGGGCGCTGACCGGTGCCGTACAGCATGGCGAGCATGATGGAGGACACCCAAGCCGTGTCGCTGTAGCCGGCACCGAAGTCGCTCATGAGCGCGCGGAAGAAGACGCTCACGGCCTTGGGGAAGCCGTAGGCGAAGCCGGTAACCACGAAGCAGGCGCCCAGCACGGCCCAGCCCCAGCCGCCATCCGGAGGGTCCGCGCCCCGCCGGGGGCAGCCAGCGCCCATCGCCGCAGCAGCCGGTGCTGGGGAAGGAGCAGGGAGACGTGCGAGAGAGAACAGTGAGGGTCTGTAGCCCAGATGAGGAGGGAATGAGGAGCCCCAGGATAGGGGAACGGAGGCTCGGGGCTACCCACCCCGGCCCTGCTCAGGACAGGGAGCCGGGAGGGGAAGCCGAGGCAGGAGTGACCTCCTGGGACATCTGGAAGAGGCACAGGTTGTGTCTGAGGGGGAGGTAGTCGGAGGTCGTTCCTACCTCAGACTTGACTTCCGGAAGTCACTTTTTGCCCCTCAGGACCTACTGATGGCGGGAGGGTGTCCTTGGATTGGAGAAGATGCAGATGCATAGGGACTGCTGTCCCCAGTGAGCACGCGTCAGGGCCTCAGGACACTGGGAATGAACACCGAAGAGACAGACACCAGCCTGCAAAACACACTTGTCTGGGTGGAGTTTATTTGCCTCCATATGTTCCTAATTTTTCTCAATGAAAAGGAATGACTGTTGTCATTAGAGCTTTGGGAGAAAAAAGAAAGCAGAAACAGTCACTTTACAACAGAAAACCTTCACTTCGTCTCAGCTGCCAGGGAGCTGAGTTCTAATTCAACCCGACTCCGCGTAGATTTGCTCCGTGACTTCAGCACATCCCCTCCCTCCCTGGGCTTCCATGTCCCCACTTGTAAGATGGGCGATTGGTCACCCCAGGCCAGGAATCAAAGTGGAGACTACCTGTCCCCCACAAGCCCCTAGCAGCCCCCCAATCCTCCACATGCAGAGAGGTGCCCTGGACTCTCACACTCCTGGGGTGCTGAGGTGTTCACATGGCAGCCCCATGCACCCCATGACAGAGGAAGAGGAAGGAAGGTGGCCCTCAGAGGTACGACTGAGCAGCCCAGAGTTGGGGCGGGAACCCAGGGCTCCCGGGCCAGCCCACTGACCTTCCTCAAGGCCCTGGTCAATATCTGGGACTCTGTCTCTCCTCTCCAAGTTCAAGTGCTGGCTTTTCAAGCCTGTCATCCTATTAGGGTAAGAGTGTGGTCCCTGGCAGCCCTCACCCCTCTCACCTGTCCAGCGGGCTTGGGGATGGATGCAGCCTCACTCCCCTGGAGCTGTTCCCTAGTTTGCTGGTGGGGCTTAGAGCTCGAAGGTTTCTCACCAACCCAGGATCAGCAGCCAGCCTGGGGCCCCGCCCCACCCCTTCCTCACCTCCCGGGCCTGGGGCTTACATCCTTACCCCAACCCGGCTAAGAGGCTTTGCCCGGGAAAGGGAGAAGGAACAGGGCTGTGACCTCACGCCAGGATGGGCCCCCATGAAGGGGCTCCCTGTCCCAGGCCCCCCAGGAAGAGAGAAGGCTGTCCCCTTTACCTTCTGGAGCTCAGGACAGACACAGCCCGGCCCAAGGGGTCCTGGTCTGGACCTGGGGCATAGCCCTGCCCTGGGAAGACCCCACAGCCCTAATCCGGACTCCTCGCCCACCCCACCCCCAGGCCACATTCCGGGAGGGACCACAGTGGCCTTTTCCCTGGATAAGACTAATCCCTGGGAATGTGGGGCGGGAGGGGAGGGTCTGGAACAAAGGGCACTTGTGGCCCAGGCCACTTGAGGATGACTTGCTGGTGGTCCCGGGCCTTGGCCACTGACACCCTTGCCCCCACTTTGAAGAGACCTTATTTCCTGGGAAACCCACAAGTAGAAATGAGACTGGGGTAGAGATGGGGGGTGGGGTGGATATAGATTGAGGGCTTCAGGGCAGATTTAGAGACTTGATCAAAACGCGGGTAGTGAGGGCCTGGGAGTGAGAGGTCTCTCAAGGAACAGCCAATGGCCTTCAGGACCCCTGACTCCATTCTCTGGGGGGTGGACACCCTGTGCTCTGTCCCCACAATCACACCACGTCCCTGCTGCTGTCTGCTTCCTTTATTTCTCACCGTTTACAAAAATTAAATGGGAATATGGGGGTGGGGAAGAGACAAGGGGCTCCTCTCCACTGGGGCAGAGAAGGGGGAAAGAGGTTGGGGGTGAGAGGTAGGCCCCTGAGGGAGAGTCCTGGGGCCGCTGGAAGGGAAGACATTGTTCTCTCCCCCAAATCCATCTGCTTGACTCAGAAGGCCCCGGCCCTGGGCGGTGGCTGGAGGGCAGCTGCCAGGCTCCTTGATCCACTACTGCTACCGCAGCGCCAGCTCTGGGCGCCCCTGGGCAGTGTGGGGCGGCGACTCAGACCCCAGGTGGGGGGCTGGTGCCTCAGCGGATGAGGGGCGCTGAGCGGTCATTGGTGACGGTGGGACGCAGCTTCACGGTGGCAAAAGGATTCGTGCCCCTGTAGGGGGAGAGGCTGGGCTGAGGGGGTGTGCATCCCCCCCAACTGGCTGCAGGCCCAGGGAAGGCGGGGGGGCAGCTGAACTGGTATCCACCCCCCATCCGCTGCCCTCAGTGGTCCACCTGCACCCACCCACAGGCAGCAGTGGGGCCCAAGGCTGCCTGACAAGGGGCTCACCGAGGAAAGAGTTCAGGGGGTCGCTGTTCCCAGGCCATCAGTCTCTGCAGTGTGGGAGGAGGAAGGCCAGTTTGGTGGGGAGCAGGGCAAGCGAGCCCCATCCCTCCCTTCACTTACCCTTCCCCAGAGGGCAAAGAATGGACTAGAGGACCCCCGGGGTGTGAAAGGTCTCATGTTCTAAGCCCAGAATTCTGTGGGCTTCAGATTTGACAGGCCTCTGGGCCAAAAGAGCATGTCCCCAGGCTACCCACCTCCCCATAAGATTGGGTGACTCCCATGAGGAGGTGGCTGCCCTGCCCCACCCGCCCCACCTGACCTTCTGACCATGCCCTGCCTCCCTCGGGGTGGGGGGCTCCTGCAGTACTTCCAGTGGACACCAGGGCTTTGGTCTCGGACAGCAATGTGTTCCCCTTCTCCACCCCAGACTCAATCCCATCCCAGCCGGCCCTGCCCGGTGGACAGATGGAGGCCGGGGCCCCTGCCAGACTGTGGGAACGGAGCAGGAGTGCCCTGGTCTCCTGCCTCCCTGCCCACTGCACGGCCCAGCGCCGAGGACGGTCTAGGGTGGCTCACCTTAACGTCACTGGCCACCCCCATGCTGCCCATGCTGCTTCGGCGGCTGCCAGGCAGGGGTGTGGGTGCAGGGCTGGGGGCGCGGCTTGGGACCCGGCTCGCGGTGTGGGGACGGGACTGGCCGTCCCAGTACTCCGAGGGGGCAGTGGAGTTGCCTGGCCGGTCCAGGAGGTCATCAAGGCTGTGGCTTCCCCGGAGTGGGTAGGACCTGAACCCAGAGAACGGGGAGGAGGACGAGGAGGGGCCCGGGGTCAGGCCCTGCTGGCCCCAGCCCCCATGGGCCAGGCCGCCTCCTCTGCACCTGGATGAAGGGAGGCCACTGGCTTGAGGACAGCCCACTGAGGAGATGGAGGGATGGACACAGTGACCTCCAGAGAAATGGGGGTGCTCAGGGGAGTGCTGTTCCAGGGACAGATGGGGGCTGGGCCCACCCTGGCATGCGGCTCACACACTCCTCCCATGGAGGGGGTAGCCATCCTCTGGGGTCCCCACCCCTGGTCACCCTGGTACCTGGAAGGTAGCTCCTTCATAGGGTTCATGGAGGTCATGGGATTCATGGGGACTTCCTCCACAGGCTTGACATAGGCCTCAGGGAACCAGCCGCTCCTGCAGGGGGCAGCAGAGAGCCCCCTAAGCACAGCCCAAAAGTGACGGACCAAGAATAACAATTCTCTCGGAGACTGTTACTGAGCACTGCCGCCACGCCCTGCTGGAAGGGCTTTGGGGCTAGTAACTCACTGTCCTCTGAAGGACGGCTTTCCCGGCACTCAAGGCCTTGCACAGCTGCCCTAACCCACCAGGGGCCGCAGCACCATAGAGAGGAGATAGCAGGGGTCCAGGAAGGAACAGGATTTGCCCAAATGACCAGAACGCCTTTCCTCACTCACTGAGCACCTCCGCGTGCCAGGCACACTGCCCTGTCCACAAGAAGCTCCCAGCCTGGCAGCGACAGAGCCCCACACAGATGATTACAGGACAGAGAGCTAAGGATGACGGGGATTACAGGGAGACCCCGGCGCCCTGCATCCAGGCGCCTCCTCCGGTGCTCCACACCTGCTCCTGGACACCGGGAGCCGGGGTCCACTGCTGCATCTCTAGAGCAGCCGGGGCTGGGAGGAAACGGCACTACTGCCCGCGCTCCTGAAACGCCTGAGACGCCACAGAATCCATGGGGAAACGGTCTCCAAGGAGCTGCCTTAGACCCCAAAAACCCAACCAACACCGTCCGCAAGTGAAGCTATTTCAACGCTAACAGAACACAACCACTTCACTATGTTGGACTACAAAATGCTTACTGATGATAAAACCGGGCAGGACTGTGGTTTGAGAGACTGGTCTAGAATGTTTAAGGGCCGGGTCCCAGGAAGTTTGTTACCCATCTGTCATGGGGACTAGCACGGTGGCCCCACGCTGTCTTCTGCCCGTGGGTGTGCACAGCAGCCACCCCCATGGGTGCCATTCATGTTCTGTCATTTTTCTACCCACCAACCCACCCTTCCGTCCACTATCCACGCAGTCACCTGCACTATGAGCCTCCATCCACGCACCCGCTGACCCACTCATCATGCACACAGAAACCGCCTCAGCCTTATCTGTCATTCCACCCACTCACACTCCTGCCTACCCACCTGCTCACATGCCCCCCAGTCACCCATCGGTCTATGCATGCACCCCACATCCATGCACCTTCCCATGCCTCCAACCACCCACCCATCTACTCATCCTCCCACACAACCCTCCCCTCATCCATCATCCGCCTGTCCACCACCTACCAACCCAGCAACCACCTGCCACCCACAGATCCACACGTTCCTCGTTTACTCTCCGACCTGTGCCCCTCTACTCCTCTTCCTCCCACCTTTCGCTCCTGCATTATCCTGCCTTAGGCCCCTTCCTTTCCTCCTACAGGAACGCTGACCCTCGTCTGCTCCTTCTGTGGCTGCCCGTCCCCCTCCTACAGGCTTGCTGGTGACAGTGATGCACTTCTTCCTTTTTCTCAGCTGGTGGTGTCAGAAACAGCCCAGCCAGCCTAGGTTCTCTAAGGATTTCCACAGCATACTCTGCAAGGAGCTGGGTCCCAGCACTGCCTCTGCTCCAGGTCCTGGGAGCCTCCGGGCAGTATGACAGTCACTGGCCATTCCCCTTCCATGCCTGCCACCCTGCCTCAGCTCCACGGTTGACTCGTGGTGGCAGAAGCAGATCACTGTAGGTGGCAAAGCTACACGATTTCTGCAAGGATTCACACTTTCCAGAGAAGTTTCTCAACCCTGATGAGAAACTTTCTCCTCTACCAACCATCCTTGCATGGCTGCCACCCTGAACCTGGGAAAGTGGCTCTTCCTACAGCGGAATGGGTGTGAGAAAACTGAGGCGACTGTGTGTGTGTGTGTGTGTGTGTGTGTGTGTGTGGTCGTCCCAGGCTCCAAGGAGTGGTCTGGGAAACATCAGTAGGGGGCTACAGGCCAGGCTTCCGGATCCGCCTTCCACCCCACCCTGCACCACAAGGCTCTCACTCACGAGGATGAGCCCTCCAGCTTGCCGTAGAGCCAGCCGTTCTGGGCCTGGGATACTAGCACCTCAACGACGTCTCCAGCCGAGAAGCGCAGCAGCGTGTGGTTGGCGCCCTCTGAGTGGGAGACCAGGGCGCGGACTCTCCGGGTACCCCCGCTGCCACTGCCCCCACTGCCTCCGCTGCCTGGGCGCTCGCCGAAGGAGTTGGAGCGCGAGCGCTGGGTGCTGCTGGTGTAGAGCGAGGCTGGGGGCGCAAGAGCGCAGCGGCACGTGGGTGGGAAGTTCGCCTTCAGTCTGCCCTCGAGCCCTCCTGCTGCAGGGTAACCCCGGTTCCTCCTCCCTGCACAAGGACGCCCAGCCTGTATGCCCTCCCCTCCCTCTGTGTCCCCAGGGCAGCGCACTTACAGGCAGATGGCGTCCGGGGCAGGGAGCGGCGCTCAGGCTCCAGCTGGGACGCGGACCTGGCCTCCGCGGGCTCGGGGCCGTAGGTGCCCGAGCCGTGCCGGCTGCGGGGGGAGCTGAATTCTCCCAGGGGCCTCTGGGGCTGCGAGGGGAGACGGGCAGGGGAGGGTGGGGAGAGGGGGCGGGCCGGCCGCCTAATCCAGCCCCCACCCCCACTCCCAGACGTCGGCGTAGGGGTTCTGGGCTCTGCGGCCGAGCCACCACGGGGGCGCGGAGACCGCGCCAGGGCGGAAGGGCGGACCGTGGGGCGCGTAGAGCGCGGCCCTGGGGGGCA